TTGCAACGACCCAGTTGCTCTCAACGAAGCTCAACTCCGAATGCTCTCAACTCTCAAATTGCCGGCTGCTCTCAAATTTTCAGAAATTTGGCAAAGTTTGTAAATGAGAGCTCGGGGGACATCTTCTCCTATTTATAGAATTTTTCCCAGAAGGTGAAAAGTCGTGACTCTTCGCCTTCTGCTTTTCCATCCTTCAAAAAGAATCTGAAGAGTTGTAAAAAAAAAAAAAAAAAAAAAAAAAAAAAAAAAAAAACCTTTCACCGGCGCCACGTGGCACCCTGCCACGTCAGCACCAGTGAGGGGCAAATGTTTGGGGTAAAAATACCCTAAACACGTGGCCCAATGGCCTAGTGACACGTGGCATCCATCCGTTGGTCAGCAGGGCTCCAATCCTCTGCTGACACGTGTCCTCTAAACCCTAAAAGGGAAACCATCCCTTCCCCACTATAAATAGTGGAAGGACCCTCATTAATGGGGGGCTGGAACATTTGTTGTTCACATTGAATACTCCTCAAAAAGAAAAACACTTACCCCGAGCAATATTAATTGCAGAATTCTCCCATTACGCGAGAAGTAACTTCTACATTACGTGCATTCTACCTCCCGTATCTTTACTAACTTGATCGTCGGAGGCGGAGCTCCTACCCCCAGGAGTCTTCGTGATTTTGCAGGCACAGGCGTCGAAGGGCATTCTTGGAATTGTAACTCTCCCGCAGGACACATCAAAAAACCCCGAAACAAAAGGTATGAGTCGTCCGCCTGTTTTTAGCAAACAGGGGCTCTCAACCACTACTCCTGCTAGGTTAACAACCTATGAGTTAAAAGCCAACAAACATTGGCGAATAAAGGGGAACAACCGGTACCAACCGCTTGATACCTCTACTACTCAGTTACTTGGCGACTAGGTAACAATCATGTTTACTTGGTCAAACCACTTTCCTACTTGGTTAGTTTTACAAATGACAGGACCGCCTGCCTAAAGGGGATCCAGTCTTTAAAATGGTTCGAATACCGATTGGATAAATGGCCGACTGATCGTCTAGCCTGGAAACAGACTACCAGTCGTCCAGGGGCATAGGCGGCGGCGTGACTAACTATCCGTACCTGTCTGCAACTATCGGCCATGTAAAACAGTCGGTATAGTGTACAATTGGATATCAGAATATTCAATACTTAAACAAATTTGAAGCAAAACAAAAAAATTCATTAAAAAGAAGCCGGTCATTAAAGACCGGCAAAATATTCAGAGCCCCGGCCGGGTAAATACAAACAAACGGCACGCAGGCCGTGGAAAGAAGACATAAAGCTTAAGAAGGGGGCAGATCTTCAATATTAGCAGTTGCCGCCTGAACAGCACTCTTCTTGCTGGACTCGGCTTCAGCTGCATCCTTTTTTGATGCATTACCCCCAAGCGGAACAAGCGCCACTACCGGCTGCTCCTCCTCCTCCAACGCCTCCTCCAACGCCTCTTCCTCAGCAGCCGCCAGGATCTCTTGATTATATCTATCAGAACACTGGCGGTACGTTTTTTCCCATGAGGCAAAGTCGGCATTGGGGAAGAGGCGGCCCCAAGTCATGCGCTGGATTTGAGCAGAGTCTTCCATCATCTCCCGGACCAGCTCTTTCTTTTCTTGCTCGGTCTTTTCTGAGAGCTCCTGAGTAAGACTCTTCTCCTGGGTCACCAAGCGTACCTTTACGCTCGCCAAGGATTTCTCCAAGGTTTCGTATGAGGACATCTTTTGGCGAAGAGGTCTCAGCTCGGCCTTGAGGTTGTTGATGGTTGCCTCCAGCTCGCTATTCCTCTTCTGGGCCGCCTCTAACTGAGCCCGGATAGTGGCGGTAGCTTGCGCGTGATAATAAAGAATATCAATGGTCAGAACTTCATTTTGGGCAATTTGAAACATTGCCTTATCACAGTCAGAGGCGGCCATAGCTTTTGCAGCCTTTACCTCTTTGTTCTTCCGGTCAAGCGGCTTGCGAAGGCCGTTCACTCGGAGCAGAGCCTAAGTACAAAGAGGAACAGGCGTCAGTTTCCAAACAAAAAGAAAACAGGCGTCCTGGAATTCAAATACTAAAAAATATGCTAAGTATACCTCAACAAGGACCCTTGCAATCCCGTCTAGGTCAAGGGTGCCGACACCCCTGACCGCCTCCCTTTCAGCTGGAGGAACGACCTTGATCATAGACTTGGCCACCTCGACCAAGTCAGGCTCCTGAGGGCCGGCTGCATCAAGCATAAACAAACGGATTAGACCTAGTAAAGAAGGAAGCAAGTCTAAAATTTACAAGGACAATTTCATACTTCTAGGTGGCCAAACTGGAGTTTTAGAAGAAGTGGCTGGCTGTTTCTCAGCCGCCACATGTTTCCTGGCAGAACCAGGAGAGCTCGCAACAGTCGTCCTCCGGGCCTTGGGGTCCGGCTGTTGGGAAGAAGAAGCTCTTGGAGCGCTCGTCTAAAAAAGAAGAGAAGTCAACACTCCTTTATATAGGCGAAGTGAGAAGGCGAAGGGTCACTTCCAGAATTCAAAATTTTGGCGGGAGAATCTCTCGACCTCTCGCCGAGTGACACCTGTAGCAGGCCGTCGCCTGTTACAGGGCGATACCTGTCACAGGTAACACGTGACCAGTCACGTGCCACCTGTGAGGGGAAAATGATTAGGGGATTTTTCCCCACCAATCACCATCTGACAAGTGGACCAATCAGGTTCCGCCATGTGTCCGTCACATGGGCCAATAGGAGCCTGCCATGTGTCAAGCAATGATCCGTCCACCATGGACCAATTACGACACGACACGTGCCCTTCCCATGACACCTGGGATAACCGGTCACCTAGGCCCAACTTCCGAGGGAAGCCCAATCAGCCCAAGGTTAACCTAAACCTAGATTGACACGTTTCCCGAGGTTATAAATACCTCCCTTAATCCTCATCAAGGGGGAGAACACGCTAAAAAGCAGATTACACACATTAAACACTCTCACCTAGAGAGACCCAATCACTTTAATTTTCGCATTAATTACTTCTTAATCAATTACTAACTTGACCGTCGGAGGCGGATCTCCAATCATCCGGAGCATCCGTTTGTTTTGCAGGTACAGGCGTTCGGTTCCAGTCTCGGAATTGTAACTCTCCCGCAGGACATCAGAAAACCCTGAAACAAGGTGCTTGATGGCTGCTCAATAAGGGCTTAACAACCGGCTTTTGGATGGTGTGGCTTCCCTTCATACATACAGCGGTCTCCTTACAATAATCAAGCCTCATACGACATATGCGGGAGTGACGCTGGTGGGTGCTCTTATGATTGCCACCTCTTTGCCAGCCGCATGCATAATTTATAAAATTATGTTTGCGTGGTTGCATACCCAAATTGAACTTATTGCATCTTTGCCGCTTGTGTATACTCGACGTAGCAACTAAAGAATGCATGGTAGCCATGCACTACTCATGAAATGAGTATAAATATACACATAGTGGTACCACTATTGAATATAAATGTATATAATATGGAAGTTAGGCGGCCTGACTTGCAATTGCATGTATAGCTAACAAGCTTGTCGGCTAACAATGATATGATTGCATGTATAGCTAACAATGATATGATTTCATGTATAGCTAACAAGCTTGCCGGCTGACCCTTGACAGTTGGTCATATAACACTTATAGCACTTGACACTCGGCCGTATGACGCCTCCTGTACTAGACAATCGGCCTTGTTACGCCTGAGGCATTTGACAGTCGGCCTTATGACGCCTCCTATACTGGACGATCAGCCTCACGACCCCTGAGGTACTTGACCGCCTGTATGGTATGCTTACAACGGAGCCTGAGGACGACTGAATTTAGCAGCCCCTGCTCGCACGCAGGGGCGCTCATTGAGGCCGCATGTATATAGCCTGTTATGCCAACATGCCGGCTGATTGAAAGGCTTACCGGCTGACTGAGAGGCTGCTTGGGGGCATGATGCCGCCTGTATAAGCATGGGGCAAGTACGACCTTATGAAGCTTGTGGCACTAGACCTTAGGCCTCATAGTGCCTGTTGTGCTTGACAATTGGCCGCACGACGCCTGTAGTACTTGGCATTCTTTTCATTTGAGAACACAAAAGGTTTTCTTGCCACCTGACCCCTGAGAAGGAGACGGCTGCATACATGACTGTCCACCCGGCATGTATGACTGCTGAAGCGCTTAATGTGCCGAATGGATTCTGAGGGCCAGAAGGGGCGATCAAACCGCCTTACTAACCCCCTCAATTTGATTGTGAATACCTCATTTGAGGTATTATAGAAGCTGTCTAGGTAGGGCGGCGTTTAAGTCGGCTCAGACACTTAGGATAGGGAGGAGGCACTCGGTTTTTGAACTCAACCGTAGGCCGCCTCCTGTTAAGAGGTGGTACAGACTGCCGTGAATCCATCTTAGTGGTACTCTCCCCACAGACGGTGCCAAATGTTTTGGGGTTTTTTTATGTATCCTGTGGGAGAGTTACAACACCGAGACTGACCTCCGGCTGCCTGTACCTGCAAAACAACGGAGACTCCCGAGGGAGTTCCGCCTTCGACGATCAAGTTAGAACGTGTATGAGGAGTATATTGCGGAATGTAGTAATAACCCCTCCTGAGTCAGGAGGGTTCTGCAATGAAGATTGCTCAGTTATTAACTCCTCCTGAGTCAAGAGGGTTCGGCAATGAAGATTGCTCAGTTATTAACCCCTCCTGAGTCAGGAGGGTTCGGCAATGAAGATTGCTCAGTTATTAACCCCTCCAGAGTCAGGAGGGTTCGGCAATGAAGATTGCTCAGTGTTTGAGTGTATTGAATGTGTATTCAATGTATGTTGTTTTTTTTTTTATAAATAAGGATGGTTCCTCTATTTATAGAGAAGGAGATCAATCCCCTTCTAGGGCTTTGGTGACACGTGTCAGCAAGCTATTGGGACACATTTCGCATTAACAGTGGTCCGTTTGTTAGGGGTATTTTACCCCTAAACAACATTAGAAGATGGGAAATCTAAGCATTGTTATTTTCTCTTAAGATGAAATCATTTCCAATTTGAGTGTTGTCCATAAAATAATCAAACACATCAAGGCTAGGACAAGGAGCATTTTCTTCATTAACATAATTTGCTTCTGCATTTTTCCCTTTGTCTTTTATAGAAGCCTGGTAATGATCTACCAAATGTTTGGCCGTACAACAAGTACGTCCCCAATGCCCTATCATGCCACATCTATAACATGTGTCTTTTCCTTTTGAAGGAGTTTGTTTGTGGCTTCTAGATGACTGTCCCTTCTGTTTTTCAGAATTTTTGAAATTACTGTTTCTTTGAAAATTATTTCTACCACGTCCATGGCCTTGTTCGTGATAATTTTCACTGCCATTGTAATTTCCACATCCACCTCTTTGTGTTGCATTTGCCTCAGGTGGATAAGAATTTGTGGCATTTGCCTCATGAGTGGCCAAAGACCCAATTAGTCTAAGATTATGATTTTTCAACCAAAGATCATTATTTTGTTCAGCAACAAGCAATACACTCATCAATTCATTAAACTTTTTGAAACCTCTTTAACAATATTGTTGTTGCAACAGTATGTTGCTTGCATGAAATGTAGTGAGTGTTTTTTCTATCATTTATTCATCGGCGACTGGATGATCACTGTAACACCCTAGAAATTCATTTCCTTTAAAATACCTATTTTACCCTTTTAAAATACGAAATAGAAAAATCTAAGACAATACCGCCACCGTGAAAACGGCTAAGGCAAATATCAAAGACACATGCGGAAGACTATCTTTTAAAACCATTCAAAACAAGTCAATTTAAAAAGTCAAACCAAAAGAAAGTAAAGTCAAACAAAGTCAACCTATAACTTGGAACCATTGTAGGCCCTTAAAACTAAACAATACTGAAAACCTTTACGTTAGTCTCATGAGCAAATATCAAAGACACATGCGGAAGACTATCTTTTAAAACCATTCAAAACAAGTCAATTTAAAAAGTCAAACCAAAAGAAAGTAAAGTCAAACAAAGTCAACCTATAACTTGGAACCATTGTAGGCCCTTAAAACTAAACAATACTGAAAACCTTTACGTTAGTCTCATGAGCATAATAAAATAAATAATATTCAAAGCAAATAAACACATCATATTCCTATGGAAACATGATTCACTCATCACTCATGCCCTTCATGAATATGCTTCATCACCTGAAAAGCTTCTCTCTACTTGTCCCCACTACTCGCCATTAGAAGTGGGTCGTCGTAGGGCCAAGGTAAAGACAGGCCAAACAAACATACAACACACAATCAGCAATGCTGAGTACATAAGCGTAATAAAAATACACTAACATGCTTTCATCCTATCATCACGCAACTTACCTTGTTGCACCTGTAAACAAGCATACAAGACACTCAACATTGAACTATACAAATACCAATGTCCATTTAATTTGATTACACATCGAACGAGTTTTCCCTAACCTGCCCCAATAAAGGGGTACTAACATGGGAGCTAACCGTGCCAGTATAAAAGAAACCACTCTTAAGTGGCGGAATTCCTGCGCATAATTAAAAGGAATATACAGCGTCATGTACTCCCAGTAGAAGTTATGGTCAAATATAAAGTCGCATAACTCCCCCCATATGTTCATACTCAAGGAATATACGTTCCAAGAGTTTTGGTGCGTAATCTCTTTCACTTTACGTTTCTTTACCTATTATTATACTTGGTGATGACTCTCAAACCATAACACAATCAAACATTATAATTCATTCAAGCAACCAAACATACCAATTTAATTCTTGAATAATTAGTGACCACATAACTTTAATGTTGAACCCTTTTTAAACTACCTCGGTGTTAAATAACACCTTAAGCGCATAAAGCACCACAAATCCTATCCCTCGAAGTTTAAAACACCTTAAGTGCACTTAGGTACCAAAATATAATTTTAATCCTCGTGTACATAGACACTTAAATAGCTCATTTCTCATGCTTATAACATCAATAAAAATTATGTGAACCATAATAAAATTTTCTTTTCACATTCCAAACCAAATTAAACATTTAGTTTATTAAACATGCTCTCTATCATGACAATAATAAAAGTGCGGTTCATAATCAACATGCTAACATAATTAATTCCAATCACCAATCTATCATAAATAATTCATAGATCACAAATCATTCACCAACCTCAATCCAATCAACAAATTCCAACCAACACCTATCATGATACTACTTGGAATTAATTAAACAAAGTCTAGCATGCCTCTACATATTCAAATAATTACCAAGTACGCGAACGTACCATGAATATAATCTCAAAATCGCCACAACTAAATAAAATCACTCACGTGGAAACCTCCTACAAACCAAAATTACAAAGAGGCATTAATACCTATTCCACACAAACTTCCAGCAATATATACACTCTTTAAATCACTCATAAACCTCTAAAATAAGCTGAAATTTAATTTAAAACTCTTACTTTTATTTCCAATTAATGGGTAATTAAAAATTCTTTCAAGAAATATAATTATAGCTTATATATAAAAATTCCAGCTTTATTAAATCATTTAAAATTGCTGTAATTGTGTTTTAAAACACATACTTCAATAATTTAAATCACCTACAATCAAATTCCATCAATATACATTAATTTAAAAACCTAGGGCTTTCAATTTGGGGCTTTTTATTTCAAAACCAAATCTGAAAATTTATATACAAAATACTTATCATCAAACATCATAAAATCATCACAAAACCCAAAAACAATATTTAGATTAAAGGTAGATTTAATTAAAAATAAAAAAGGAACAATTTATTTATTTTTTTTATTTTTTTTTACTACAAACACACGCACGTGCAAGGGGAGAAGAAAGGGAGGGTGGCTGGCGCCACCTCCCACGGCTAATGCTGCAGCGGCCGGCTGTGGTGGTGGTGGCAGCCGGCCACCGTGAGATGTGTGTGGTGGTGGTGTGTGAAAAACATTAAAATTAAAATAAAAGGGGAAGGGGAAAAATTAAGAGAAAAAGAGAGAAAATAAGAGGAGAGAGAAAGAGAGTTACCTTTGGGTATTCTCCACCTTGGGCAAAGTTTAATTTGCCCATGTGATGGGTATTTATACTCTCTTTTCTAAAACCCTCCTAGACTTAACTTTCCTTTTTACCCTTAATGATTTCTTTCCTAGTCAAACTAGTATTTTGACTTTCTTTAAAAACTCATTGACTTTAAAATTTCCTTTTATAAAATAATATGCCCCAATATTTCCAAATCATGAAATAAAATATTTTCAAGAATATTAAAAATAAACTTTTAATTAAAATAATTCTTTTTAAATTAAAGAAACACCATAAATAATTCATTTTGAATTATTTAAATACTTTAAGAAATACTTATTTAAATTAAAATACGTATAAAAATACAGGGTATTACAATCACAGTATCTCAATATAGATACTATATCATGTAAGGCTGAATTGTAATTAATTTCAGATTTGAAATCCTGGAACCGTAAATTTGTCCAGTCAAATAATGCCTTAGAAAAGAGCACCCTTTTGTGGTGTCCAAATCTTTCATTAAGGCAATTCCATAATTCTTTGGGATCTTCAACCATCATATACTCAGTTTTAAGGCCTTCATGTAAATAATGCGTTAACAACACTAAGGCTTTTGCCTTCTCTTGTTCAGTTACATGTCTTACAACCGTCATTGCAGAAGTGGTAGTATCACTTGCTTGACCAGAGGGACTTTTATTATCTTTAATAGTGTGCTCCAACCCTTGAGCTTTCAAATTCATTATTGCATCCACTTTCCATTCTAGAAATTTCTTTCCAGGTAAATCTAGGATGTTGAACTGTCTTTTCATAAGATCTCCCATTTTAACTACAACAAATTACGTAATAATTAGTTTATAATAATAAATCATATGTACAACACATATGTTTAATTCTTCCATATTTATAGTTAGGTTAATGAAACACGTGATAATTAATATTATTTAACAATAATAAACTATAAATCATATAGTTCTTTTCTCCTCCTCAGTTTATTATTGTGAGTAAATATATAAGTAGGCAAAAATAAATCATGTTAGTCACAAAAATGATTATAATAATTATAGTAATAACGACAACAAAACAACAAAACAACATAATAATAACCGTAGTAACAATAACCGCAAAACGACAACAATAACCGTAGTAACAATAATTATAATAATGACGGTAATATTATACAATGATGATTAATAACAACAAAACAACATAATTAATAAAACAAAAACAAGCTTTTAATCTACCGATACGACAAAATAAACGAGTTTCACTTGTGTATAATGACTTGCTACTAACCAAACTATGAGTGTCGTAATTAGAAAGAAATATTGTTTTGTTTTCCTTAAATCTTCCTCAAAAGTGAAGGTGTGGGTGTTTTGGTTGCCGTTGACGAGAAACATATCGGAGAAGAAGGGGGCGAAAAATTTTTTGGTGATTTTTTTTTGGATAAAAAGTGGGAAAGGATAAGGGATTTGTGGTAAAATCGAGAGAAAAATCTGCGTTTTAGAGAGGTAGGTTTATCCGTAATTATTTTGTACGATTGTAAGAATATCATATAATAGTCTAATGTACCGACAAAAATAATGGTCCATATATAAATGTTTATAATTATAGAAGGTATCACACTAGGAATGCAAGCCATAGTTGTTTCGGGGTTTTCTGATGTCCTGCGGGAGAGTTACAATTCCGAGACTGGAACCGGACGCCTGTACCTGCAAAACAACGGAGACTCCTGGTGGTGGGAGCTCCACCTTCAACGGTCAAGTTAGTACTTGATTAAGGAGTAATTAATGCGGAAATTAAAGTGATTGGGTCTCTCTAGGTGAGAGTGTTTAATGTAGGTAATCTGCTTTGTTAGCGTGATCAACCTGTTATCTCTCTGTAATCTCTGTAATCTCCCCTTAATGAGGATTAAGGGAGGTATTTATAACCTTGGGAAACGTGCTAATCCTAGGTTTAGATTAACCTAGGGCTGATTGGGCTTCCCTCGGAAGTTGGGCCTGGGTGGCCGGTTTCTCCATTAGGCATGGAGTATGCCACGTGTCATGACATAATAGGTCCAAGGTGGACGAATAAGCGCGTGCCACGTGGCAAGCCCTGACAGTTCCAATTGGGGGACACTTGGCAGGACCTGATTGGCCCACGTGGCGCATTCCGATTGGTGGGAGCAAAATCCCCTAATCAATAGTGGTTCAAGAGCCATAATATCTATAAAAGATCCTAGGTTTGAAAACGGAAAGAAACATAAAAAGTACGTAAAAGAAAGAAAATTTTTATAGTATAAAAAGGCTGCATCTTTTTGTTAATAGTCAATATACTTTTTTTTTAAAAAAAAAGATTGATTCATAAATAAAAAGTCATACGACATCTACAAAGAGATTAAAATCTAATAAATACATGGTAATTGAATCAAATAATAATATCCTTTCAACAGAGCTATGATCGTTGTTGGAAATTATACATTCTTCATACCCTTTTTCATATCGCTGTGATTTACAGCCTTGTTTGACGAGGGGGTCTATTGATCTATTGTAGCCGTGAAAAAAAATTCCGTCTGATTCATCTGATTGTAATCGAATTATTACCTCTTCTTCACTCCCCCACAAATCTTTACCCATGAAACAACTTGTATCAAACTAAACTCAAAAAACAAAAACAAAATTAGAACAAAGCCCACCATAGAGGCACTTACTACACTGAAACCCACTATAAGGGTACTTAATACCTTCAAAGAGTGTAGATTTATTGAATTCAATAACAAAAAATAAAGAAACTTAAGGGAAAAGGTCGAAAATAGCCAAATTTTCGGAGAAATTTGACTATTTTCGGCCTATGAAACACTTGTTTTTTAAGAATCCTAAAAATAAAAAATAGAGAAAAGACGGCTATTTTATCGTTAAATATAAATAAGCTCTTTGATATAATGCCACATAAGGATACGATGCTGTGGAATACTATGTTGACAAATTTGGGTGAAAGAGATAATGAAATGGCTTTAATAGTCAATATACATGTAAAGCTACGTAAGTTACTATTATGCAATCATATAACTAGAACCTAATTTTACGTAAAATACCAACATGGATTGACAAAATACCAACATGAATTGAACAAAAAAACAAGGGAGGATGGTAACAATTTCATAAGTAAGGGAATTTTTCCACCGTTGTTTTTTAGATATAATTTGCATAATATATGATACAACAAATGTTTGAGTTTCTAGTATAGAGGATCCCAAATATGGGCAAGTATAGAGCATACTTCTCAAAACGTTTAGAAGTAGATAGTATTATTTGTTATAAATTTTGAGAAGTAGGTATAAATATACCTGACTAGAAATTGGTGCTGATAACGTGTTAAAAATATTTTACCAATAGAGATATTGGAGATTAAAAATGTAAAGAAGTAGTGTAGTAGTGCTCCGGTTATATTTTTACTTGTGTAATTTACACTTACATGGCTTTGTATATATAGCCATGAGTAATGCTAAGAGTAGAATAATTACTCATATGTAGTCATATGAGTTCACAAGTCTTTAGACCTATATGAGCATTATATAGTCAAATCAATAATTGGCATTTACCTTAGACTTATCTTCTAACAATAATAATTAAAAAAAACACTTTTTTTAAAAAAATAAAAAGAAACAAAAAAAATGGAACTCATATGAAGGAAGGGCAAAAATGGGAGACTAATAAAAAGTAAAGGGGGAAAAAACTAATCCTATTACTTTAAAAAAAAAATTCTCATTGGTAGTGTCGTATTTTTGCATATTTCTATTAGTAGCCGTTTCGTATATGAATTATCTTTGGTAGTCTCATACTCTTAACATTTTCACTTCCGTAACCCTATTTGTTTCGGGATTTTTTATGTGTCCTACGGGAGAGTTACAACACCAAGACTGGACCCACGCGTTTGTACCTGCCAAACAACGGAGACTCCCGGGTGTAGGAGTTCCGCCTCCGACGATCAAGTTCGAACGTGTTCGGAGGTAAAAAGTGTGGAATATAAAGGGGGGATCAGGCTCCTCTTAGGAGAGGAGTGATCATCTGGCTGTCTGAGACAGCCTCAATATCTGAGTGTTTCACTCTCTGATTTGCGTAGATTGAATGTGTATTCAATTGAGTCCCCCCCTAACTGATGTAAATGATCAGTATTTATAAGGCCTCTTGGGATAGGTGCCCTTTTAGGTTATTTTAACCTAAGTAGATGGGCTTTCCCACCGTTTTACGGTTTCTAGTGTTATGGGCTTAAAGTCCGTTTTCCCCTTTGAATGACACGTGTCATGCTCTAATTGGCTCATTAAGCGCTGAGCTTAGGGACATGTGTCACAGTGGCATTGGTCCACATGCAAAGGTATTTTTACCCTAAATATTAGCCCCTCGGAAGGATTAATCTCTCTTTTAAGAGGGATTGTTCCTTTCGAAAGTAAGACCCTTTAAGCCTCTTTGGTCGCCATTTGTCTAGTTCAATAAAAAAGGGATTTGATTAACTCGGAAAATTTTGATACCTTGAATGATATGACATTTTCTAAGTTAATCAATCATAATAATGATTGCCGCTGAACTAGACAGATGTCGACTTTTATTAATTTTAGCCCTGCTATGGTGATAGCCCCAGATCAGGCAGACTGTTGGCCATCGAGCAGGTGGGTAAGCGCTCAATATTATCCGGCCATTGACCTCTTTAGGTTGTTCTTAATAGGAACAACGCTTAGCTGCTATGTTTTGGTCTTAGCTTATATCCTCAAATTTAGCCAACTGAGTTTCCCCTGAGCAAACCAGCAAACGGTTATCTGACTCAAATATTATAGACTATCGCTTGTTTTGTAGAACAGACGGTAGTCTTTGTTATCCTTGTCTCATTTGATCAATTCAAACGACTGCGAGCTTGTCATTTTTGACAATCGGTAAGGTCGTTTGTTTTAGTTCATAGAGCAATGTGCCACCCAAATGGGAGATGCTCTCTGTGTCGAATTCACCCAAATGAATGTTGCCGGACGCCTTCTCATGTTAGGGACAGACGTATTGTTTTATAAATAGAGTATCCGGCCATAGGCCTCAATTTGATCACCCGGCCATTGGCCTCAAGTTGATCATCCGGCCATTGGCCTCAAGTTGATCATCCGGCCATTGGGCTCATTAGGTTGTTCTAAAAGGAACAACACTTAGTCGCTAAGTTTGTTAGACTTAGCTTAAATTTGCTCATGTTGGAGCAGATGGTTGGTTTAGATTTTGCCGCTTGCACATTGCACAGGCGATGCTTCTCCCTTTCGGAAAGCATATATATCATTTATTGGATGTAAAAAGCTGGTTCAACATACTTTGTTAGACCTTTTTCGGTCAGTATGCTGCCTTTGAAAGGAGACTTAATCCAATATTAAATGATTCAAGCAATCAAACTATTTATTCAATCAATAATAATAATCACATAATGCTTATGCTTAGTTATTAGAATGGTACCTTTCAATGGAAGATTTTCATCAGTATGTTGGAAGACATTGGGATGCCTCCTGCTTGATTCATGATACCGAGCTCTTCAAATGGTGACAAGCGGTCATGAGATACCGAGTAACTGAGCTCGAGAAATGAATTTGCTCTCGGATTATACAGACGGCTCTCTATTGAGATGCCTCCTGCTTTTTTTTTTGATAATATTTGAACAATACTTATGCCAACCGAGCTATACTAGGCGGTTATTCTACCATGCCGCTTGGTTACAGATTCAAGTGCCAGGGGGTTGTCAACCCATATACATGCGGCAAGACTTCAAGTAATATACATTCGGCAAGAAAGTAAGAGAGATTGTAGAGGTACCCAGGCGT